TGCAAGAAGCCTTTGCTTCTTCCCCTCCCAGAGTGCAGGACTATCAGCTATTAGTGAGGAAGTGTCACTTGATAGTCTGCCTACAGGGAAAGGGAGTAAGAGCTTGTGGCTGAGATCCCAGGAAGGTGAGTAGCTGCCTAAGGCATTTGACTGCTAACCAGAAGGGTGGCGCTTCAAACCTACAAGCTACTCCTTGGAAGGAAGATTGGGCAATGTATTTCTGTAGTGATACTGCCTCTGAAACCCAAGGAGAGGGGTTGCTATGAGTTGGAACTAACTCAATGGCAGTGAGCGGCAGTGAGTTTATTTTTTCCCTTAGAAGTGAATATCTGTATGTTCATAGTCTTACCTCTTTATGAAAACATTGCATCTAATGACTTTAATTTTGATAACTGTTAGTTGCCAACAAGTCGCTGTGCCTCATGGCAACCCTGTGTCCAGCAGAACAAGACGTTACTCGGTCCTGTGCTGTCTTCGTGATTGTTGCCATGTTCCAGTCTGTTGTTGCGGATTCTGTATTTTGAGTGCCTTCTAACCTGCGGGGCTCATCTTCCAGCACTGTATTGGGCAATGTTCTGTCGGGATCCAGAGGGTTTCGCCGACTAATCTTCAGAAGTAGATTGCCAGACCTGCCTTCCTAGTTTGTCTTACTTCTGTGGTGCCAAGGTACCAGTATTTCAAATCGGAGTAGAGTCACTCATGCCGGACAGGTTTCAGAGAGCATTGAGATTAAGACTAATTTTGATTACAAGCAAGGACATAATTTACATTTTAAAGGATTTGGATGAGGTTTCCTTTTAAGTACCCTAGTTACCCCACATTTATGAAGACTTTTTTTTTTTTCCTTCCCCTTTCAAGCTTTTTCAGCCTTGTAAAATTAAGAACTGATGGGGATCTTAGAGGTAACCTCGGACATAGATGTGGATTTGAGCTTGTTGTTGTTGTTTGCCATCGAGTTGGCCCCGACTCATAGCGACCCCTCCTTGGGTTTCCAAGACAGTATCACTACGGAAGTAGGAATGCCCAACCTTCCTTCCGAGGAGTGGCTGGTGGGTTTGAACCGCCAGCCTTCTGATTAGCAGTCAAGTGCCTTAGCCACTATGCTACCAGAGGGTTTGAGCTAGAAGATAGAAAATCCCATATGAACGGCAGAAAAAGATCAGGGAGTCAGAGTAGACCCTAAATAGGTGCTGCGTTGTGATGAGCCAGATAGCTTAACTAACTCCATCTTGATATGCTGATACCCCTATAAAGTGTTTTTTCCTTAAGCTACAGGTCTAGACCACCCTATCCTGTTTCCACTGAAAAGCTGCAGGCCTAGACCACCCCATCGGTTCTGGCAGAACATGGAGACCTAGTTAAGCCCCTATGCCAACCACAGAGACAGACCATGATGCTAAGTGTTGCCTATAGGTGTGACTTGCTAGAGCAAGTATAATGCTTTTTCAGCTTCTGTAAAAGTCTGCTTGTAAAGGCTGAGTCCTAGTTGAAGCTCCCAGAGTGGATGAGGCCTAACCACAATGCCAAGGAGTTTCTTTATAGGTGTTGTTTGCTAGATTAGGTTTAACATTGCTTTCTGCTTCTGTAAAAGATTGCTTGCAAAGAATAGAAAAGAGACACTCAATATTACACCCCGCCCGCTTGGGGTTTTGTCTTTATAAACCCCGTGAAGCAAGCTGCTCTTCTTGGTTGAGAATCCTTTCTGGCATGAACCACCTTTCCACCCTGGAAATAAAGGACTTAAAGCTTGATTCGGTCTCAGAGTGCTGGGTGACTGCATATAGTCCATCTCGCCCTTAATATATAACAGCACGTGAGGACACCTGGCTCTGATGCCCCATTGTTGTTAGTTGCTGTTGAATCAGCCTCCAACGCATGGTGAATCCATGTGTCCAACACAACAAAATGATGGCCGGCCCTGTGCCATCTTCATCATGGGTTTGCTTGAGTCCACTGCTGTGGTCGCTGTGTATTTTGAGTGCCCGCCAACCTAGGGGACTGATTCCCTGATAAAAGATCACTGGAAAAATCGTCTGTTTTCTTGGCTGCTTAGTCCCTCATGCCACTGGCAATGTGCTGCCAGACTGCTGAGACTGCAGGAAAGGCAACCAGGAGGCAGTGGGAGGCTTTCTACAAGGTCAGTACCGTATGTTTCTGTGGGCACCAGGGTCAGAGGTGGCTATCTTGAATCACGATGGTGTGGATTCTAAAGAGTCTAGTGTCTTTTGTGGCCCACTCTCCACCCAGCCCCCATGCCCTGTATCGTCATCTGTTTCTCTCCAGGAGGGCGAAGGGACAGATGGTTTATTTCCTGATTTATTGGTGGGGAACTGTGACAAGGAGAACACAGGCACAAGTCTGCAGACAGCTTAGTGAGCAAAGTCCAGCCCTCTGCTTCAAAGCCACCTCTTACTGTTTTGGCCCTCATTCTGATTATCCTATGAAAGAAAAAGGTTTTGAGCCAGGAGGTTTTAGGTCACTGGTAGGAGACTTCCCCTAAATGATAACTGGGTGTCAAAACCCCAGATTTGTTTTTCACAGTTGTCCTGTCGTCCTCCCATGGTATAGAACCTTGCTTCTGCAATGGGGCAGCTAGAGGCATGGGATGGATAGACATGAAAGTTGTTTCAGAAGGAAGAAACTGACCTGGCCACAGACTTGACCACTGGAATCTCTTCTCTATTGGGCATCCCTGTTCTGCTCTGGGGAGCTCTGGTAGCATAGTGCCTAAGGCATTTGACTGCTAACCAGAAGGCTGGTGGTTCAAACCCACCAGCCACTCCTTGGAAGGAAGCTTGGGCAACTACTTCCGTAGTGATACCGCCTCGGAAACCCAAGGAGGGGAAACCCAAAGAGGGGAAACCCAAGGGGAGTGATTGCTGTGAGTCGGGTTTGATTTGACGGCAGTGAGTCTCCTCACCCCCCAACCCCAACTAGAAATTTGCAGAGTCCTGTGAAACCACTTTTCCACCATATTTCCAGTGCAGCAGGCCAACTCTGAGGCCTGGCTTCTGTTTTTTTTTTTTTAATTGTTTGAAGTCTTCCTCACCTCACTGAAAGATGGCTCTTGGCCAAAAATTAAGGATACCAGAAAGATACTTATTTGTGCTTTATTAACTATGCGAAACCATTTGACTGTGTGGATGTGGATGATAATATTATGGGTAACAGTGCAAAAATGGGAATTCCAGAGCACTTCATTATGCTCACGAGGAACCGGTACGTAGACCAGGAGGCTGTTGTTAGAACAAAAGGATACTGTGTGGTTTAAAACCAGGAAGGGCATGTGTCAGGGTTTGTATCCTTTCAACTTACTTATGCAACCTGTATGCTGAGCCCAAAATCCCAGATGCTGGACTATATAAAGAAGAATCTGGCATTGGGATTGGAGGAAGATTCATTAACAACCTGAGAGATGCAGATGATACAACCTTGCTTGCTGAAAATGAAAATGACTTGAAGCCCTTACTGATAGACTGAAGACTATAGTCTGCAGTATGGGTTACACCTCAATGTAAAGAAAAGGAAAATCCTTATAAGTAGACCAGTGAGCAGCATCAGAATAAATGGAAAAAATGTGGAAATCGGGGATTTCATATTACTTAGATCCACAATCAACATCCATGGAAGCAGCAGTCAAGAAATCAGACCTCATATTGCACTAGGCAGATCTGCTGCAAAATACCTCTTCAAAGTTTTAAAGAGCAAAGATGTCATTTAGATTAAGGTGTGCCTAACCCAAGCCATGGTATTTTCAATTGCCTCGTATGTGAAAGCTGGACAATGAAAACGGAAGACCAAAGAAAAGTTGATGTTTTTGAGTTGTGGTGTTGGCAAAAGATACTGAAAGTACCGTGGACTGTTAGGAGAACAAACAAATCTATCCTGGAAGTACAGCTGGAATGCTCCTTGGAAGCAAGAATGACCAGATTTCATCTCGCCTACTTTGGTCATGTCAGAAGGGACCATTCCCTAGAAAAGGATGTCATGCTTGGTAAGTTTGGAGGGTCAGAAAAAAGGGGAAGGCCCTCAACGAGATGGATTGATACAGTGGCTGCAACGATGGTCTCAAGTATAGTGAGGGAGGGTGCAGAAGTGGGAAGTGTTTCCTTCTGTAATACATTATAGGGTCACTGTGAGTCAGAGCCGACTTACCAGCACCTGACACCACTGCCACCACCTTACTTACTGTCACTGATCCTTTGGGTCCTAGAAAACTCATTCCACCAAGGAGTCACTCTTACTGTCCCTATGCCCATTATATACTCCCAATAACCTTCGTTATATTCTTTCTTATTGTTGTATCCTTCCCTAGCATAACATTTACCATGTTACTGTAAAAGTGTGATTTTGTTCTCCCTGATGTGTGAAGCAAGGTATTGATCTGTCTTGTCCACATATATATCCTCAATGCTCAGAACTTGATAGGCTCTGAATATTTGAATAAAAGTGGGCTTGGGTAGGACAAATGGTTTGTACATGACTATTAACTGAAAGGTTGAGATTTGAACCCACCCAGTGGCAACATAGAAGAAAGACCTTGTGATCTTCTGTAAGATTATAGCCGTTGAAAATCTTATGCAGCCACAATTCTACTCTGACACATGTGGGGTTGCCATGAGTGGGAACTGATGACAATGGACTTGATTCTTTGGTTTTGTCTTTTTTTGGATCATGTATTTGGGACCTAATTTAGTTAGGGAGAAAAGGATTTGATTTTTGGGGCTGTTGAAATTGAAGCATCTGTCTAGTACTCTGAATATATGGATCTGAAACTCAAAAGGATTATACTTGATTTGGAAGTCATTAGCAAGGCCTGTAAAGTGGTCTTCTGTACCCTAATGTTGCTGCCTAAGTATTCTAGATTTGATGTGATAAGAATAGATTAAAAGAACTTGATGTGATTAGAAGAATGTGAGAACAGAAATAGAGGGCAGACTTCTCATTCCAGTTAGATTTTATTTCCCATGGATTTTACCCACTTGTTTTTCATCACAGAAATGGCCTCCACCTTCAATCCCCGAGAATGTAAACTATCCAAACAAGAAGGGCAAAGCTATGGCTTCTTCCTGAGAATTGAGAAGGACACCGATGGCCACCTGGTCCGAGTGGTTGAGAAGGGTAGCCCAGCAGAGGAGGCTGGCCTCCAGGATGGAGACAGAGTTCTTAGGATCAATGGTGTCTTTGTGGACAAGGAGGAACATATGCAGGTGAATGAGATATTTGGGATTCTCCTGCCAGGATCTCTTCACCCCACATCCTCTCTGCTTGGGTATAATTTCTGGGACCAGTGGAACTTGGCTCTTTCCTGGCTTCTGCTGGCAAGGCAGGACACCATTATTTTTGGACCTTCTGCTGGTCAGTCAACTCTGCTACAATTAATCAAGAATTGTAGAAATTACTCCTATCTTTGAACAGTGTTAAGTCTAACATGCATTGTATGCTCACTATATGCCAGGTGATTTCCTACTCATTAGTTTGTTGAATCCTTACCACAATCCTATGAGATAGACATTATCATTTCACAGGTGAAATAGAGGCTCAACTTGCCTAATATGCTCATGAAGTGAATATATGGGAGGGCCTGGCCTTGAACCCAATTCTGACTCCAGGTAGGTGTTCTTTTCATTATACCATGCTGCCACCATGGGCCCAGAAAGAACTGTTATGCTTGAGGACAGCATTCACTTCCAGAATGGACTAGTCCTTGTAAGGGCCTTCTGTGCTGGAGTTGGGCCATATTCTAGATTCTAACAGTGCCAGGGGCCCAGCCTAATGTCTACCTAGGTTTTGGGCCATGTTAGGGACATGGTTGGAGATACTATCTACTTACTCTTTGGGTGTCAGGGGTCAGCTATCAGAATCTCCAGGGTCAGATGCTGAGCATTTCCCTTTGGCAGTTGATAGAGATTAATGGTTAATGTTATGTTTTTCTTCCTTCCTCCCAGGTTGTGGATCTGGTCAGAAAGAGTGGGAATTCTGTGACTTTATTAGTTCTAGATGGGAAGTCCTATGAGAGAGCCATTAAAAAACAGGTAGACTTGAAGGAGTTGGGTCAAAATCAGGAGCCAAGTTTAAGTGATAAGGAGTTGCCCCTGGTGAGGAATGATGGAGCAGAGACTTGGACCCAGCCTCGACTGTGCTACCTGCTGAAGGAGGGGAACAGCTATGGCTTCTCTCTGAAGACTGTCCAAGGTGAGCTTTGAGGGTGGGGATGGACAACCAGTTTCCTTAGAGGGGGGAAAATGTTATCGGTTAATGACTTTCCTTCTTTGGCCAGCTTCTCAGTTGCTATGGATATTCTACAGCAGTTTGCTACCTCCCTCTCTGCACTTTAACTTGCCAGTAAGGATCAAGACATTGGACAGCAGTGGAGAGGTGCTAACCAAACCAACCAACCAAACACTGCCATCAAGTTGGTTTCCTCCTTGAATTTCTGAGGTGGTATCTCTATGGAAGTAGATTGCTTAGTCATCCTTCTGAGGAATGGCTGGTGGGTTTGAACCACTAGCCTTCTTGTTAGCAGTCAAATGCCTTAGGCACTATACCACCAGAGCTCCTTTTTGGAGAGGTGCTAAGTACTCCTGTTTCCCAACTTGTCAGGCTAAGCCTTTGAAGTTATAGGGTGGTGTTTCTTTTCTAGTTTCTTTAGGGTGTGAGGATGGAGGGGAGAGTAGGAATAAGAGATAAGGAAAAATATGGGAGGGGTTCTTTATAATAGAGACATTTGATAAGATTGGTATCACTTCTCATGCCTCAGAGCGCCCAGGTGTTTATTCAGGAAGTTCTTGAGCACCTGTTGGTGTGTCAGACACTGTAAGTGCGGGGGATATTGCAAAAATCCCTATGCTGCTGTGATACTTACAGTATTCTCAACTGTGGCCCAGTCTCATCTGTTCCCAGGTGCATCCTTGACCTCTAGCTGAGTGATGCATAGTGATTCAGGAAACTCTGACCATTAGAAAGTACTAGATGTTCTGCTTCTATAATTGGAGAAGTACAGACTGACCTATGCTTAGTTGATCGTAATTGTATAATGGCTTCTTTGGGATCCAGGCTGGAACCAGAGGAGCTATGTTGGTCTGTTGGGTTCCATCATCAGTGTTGCCTCTGCCTGTGTTTTTTCAGTACTAGAGAAACATCAGGGGTTGCTACAACTTAACTCAAAAAGGAATAGATCAATGGGAAATACACAATCCTTACCAAGGCTCATTTAACTTGTAGCAAGAGATATAAAAAGTATTTCTCAAGTTTTTTAGTTATTAGACACATTGAGGTGTAAGTTGTCAAGGGAAGCTTGACATTTCCTAGAAGTTCATTATCAGTAAAATGTTTTGTTTTTTAAATCGGACTCATTTTGCTCCTGTGATAATTTGTGTAGTGAATGGGGTTAGATTAGTTTTAAGAAGAAAATGTTTTCTCCATGGAAGATACATCACAACTTAACAGGAGAAATGTTAGTGTTTAAGGAAACAGAGTTTGAGTTGCTATATTCCTTACAAATGATTGATACTAGTCATTATTAATATACCCTTTGCTTCTATTGAAATACAAAAGCTTGAAATAATTGAATACCTATGAACCCAGACTGACCATATGTTTGTATGCTTTCCCCTCTTTTTGTGCCTCCACCCTCATTATCTTGTATCAATGAAATTTATTGACTCTGTTGGTACGTGACATGGTTAGAGTACTGACTAAAGAGGAAGGAATCGAGCAGATGCTCTCTCATTCTACAAATGCAAAGAAAGGGTGTATGGCATAATAATGCAATGTGGGCGTTGTTCGGTGCTCTCTGGTTCAAGAGGCCAGTGCTACCTCAGATGCCTTCCTTGCATTTACTTGGGAAGTTCTACTCAAATCAACAAGTTGAGCAATATCTGTGTCAAGTTTTGTGCTAGGATCTATAATGGTATTTCTATATCTGAAGCCAAGGTCTATTTCAGTAAGCCCTAAAATGGATGTTCTGATGTCAAATTACTGGGAGAAAACTCTTCACCATTGAACTTTTAGTTTGTCTGTACAATGGAGTCATAACCGTTGTCCACTTCCTACCCTCTTCCAGGTAAAAAGGGAGTATACATGACTAATATAACACCTCAAGGTGTGGCTATGAAAGCTGGTGTCCTAGCTGATGATCGCTTGATTGAAGTGAATGGAGAGAATGTAGAAAATGCCAGCCATGAGGAAGTGGTGGAAAAGGTACACCCCCAAGGAGTGCTTGTTTATTTAACTCTCTGTGTCACTCTTTGCTCGTTGGAAGTGTCAGGGATGGTAGGGTCCAAAATGACTTTATGACAGAAACATCCAGTTGATATGCCCATTTTTATTTTATTAATGGTGAACATACTCTCACTAGTGGTATAAGCAGTGTTAATAAAAGATTTGTAATAGACTTTTGATAGTTTCATGAAATCTGGAAGAAAAGTGGCCTAAAGAACTATTAGCTTTATTTTTTTGGTTTTATTTTTACTTGATTAGGAGTGCCCTCTGAATTTATAATAGTGTCAATGTTGAGCCAATGTTAGATAAATATTTTAGCATAAACTGAAAGATAACCCAGTACAGTGGTAAACATGAAGCAACACATGAATATTGCAGGGCCTATTATTCCCAAATGTTATGTGGTTCTATGATACATGGAAAAAACTATGAAGGTTTCTTTGAGGTCATAGCGAACCTTGAAAATTGACTGACACTCTTGTTATGTGCCCTCAAGTCGGACCTGACTCACAGTGACCTCTCCTTGGGTTTCCGAGGCGGTATCACTATGGCAGTAGATTGTCCAACCTTCCTTCCAAGGAGAGGCTGGTGGGTTTGAACTGCCAGCCTTCTGGTTAGCAGTCAAGTGCCTTGGGCACTATGCTACCAGAGCTCCTGACTGACATTCTTAGTAGTGCTTTTTAAGAGTAGACTCTTACTTTCTTTTCTAAACTCCTGTTCTCTAGCCTTTACTTAAGTACTTCTGGGTTTTCTGAATTCCAGCTCTTACCTGGGTTCATTTGGCATCTGCATGAGTGAAGTCATCCTTAACAAAGTGAAGAGCAACTGCAGATGTGGAAGTAGATGAATTGTAGTTAGGTGTTAGGACATAGCACAACACAATTTAAACTTGAGTCTTGCCTTCCATGTTGCCCATTAAATCTGGAGGCTGTATGCCTTTATGGAGAAACTCTTCTGTTTCATGGCATCATTATTGGAGGTTGATGTTTCTGCACCTCTGTGTATTGCAGGTGAAGAAGTCAGGGAGCCGTGTTATGTTCTTGCTGGTAGACAAGGAAACTGACAAGCACTACAGGGAGCAGAAGATACAGTTCAAGAGAGAAACAACCAGTTTAAAACTGCTACCCCACCAGCCTCGGGTTGTGGAGATGAAGAAAGGCAGTGATGGCTATGGGTTCTACCTGAGGGATGGCCCAACACAGAAAGGTAAGATAAAAGACGACCAAAAAACTCAGCAATGAACTATCCAATTCATCCAAATTTGGCTTCAGAGTTCATTAGTCCCCTGATTCTCTACCAAATGCATAAGAAGGGGAACAGTAAGAAACTAGAAAGCATAGCTGGGCCAGTTTCTATGTAGGGCAATCCAAAGGAAAACGAGGTGACAGGCCTATAAAGTGAATAGCAACAGGGAGGAATGTATTCCTCACTACAATCAACCACAGGAGACCAAAAGGGCAGCATTTGCCAAAAACAAAACTCAAGAAGGGGAAGGAAAGAGGAATGAATGGAAACAGGGAACCCCCAGGAGGAAGTGAGGATGGTGCTGTAATGCTGAGGGGATTGCAACCAATGTAATGAAACAAAATGTGAATAAATGGTTGAATAGAAAACTAACTTGCTGTAAATTTTCATCCAAACTACCATGAAAGTAAAACAAAAACAAATGAGTTCCAGAATTATTAAAATAAAGATGAATATAAAAGAGTAAATAATAAAATACAAGTATTTCGTTCTGCTGTGCATGGGGTCGCTATGAGTCGGAAACAACTGGACGGCACTTAACAACAACAACATTCTTGAATACAAATATACTTAACAAGGGCAGCATTTGGGATGTGGGCAGTGGTCCATCGATAAACTGGCTCTCTGCAAAGTTTCTGTGGTGTAATCTCACCATGGGTGATTCCAAGCTACCAACATGATGTCACTGAGTGCAACGTTAAGAGAGGTGCACAGTTGGCTCTTGTGAGCTGGCGTGAGCCAGTTTCAGCACACCACAAGATCTGAGGCAGAGGTGTGGGTTAGGATGGAGAGATCGGAGCTGAGAGTCTTCTGCTTCCTTGTAACTCAAGAGGGAAGTAACTATGGTCCCTTTACCCAAAACACCAAAACCAAACTCACTGCTGTCGAGATGGATCCAAGTCATAGTGCGACCCCTCCTTGGGTTTCCGAGGTGGCATCATACGGAAGTAGATCGCCCAACCTTCCTTTCAAGGAGTGGCTGTTGAGTTTGAACTGCAAGGCCTTTGGTTAGCAATCAAATGCCTTAGGCACTGTGACATCAGAGTTCTCATGGTGCTTTTAGGGCAGAAAAATTCATAAAAGAATGTGAATTCAGACCATACAAACTTTTATCCAGAACTTACTGCTTTCATTATATATGTTTATATTAACTGGTTCATATTATGTAGAAAATATCCTCTGGGCCTTTGAGAATATCAGGTGATCAGACAGGAATTCTTCATTCAAGGAATCAAGCATTTAGTGGAGGTTATATAAGGAGATCTGGTAGCGTAGTGCCGAAGGCTTTTGACTGCTAACTAGAAGGCTGGTGGTTCAAACCCACCAGCCACTCCTTGGAAGGAAGGTTGGGCAATCAACTATCCGTAGTGATACTGCCTCGGAAACCCAAGGAGGGGTTGCTATGAGTTGGATATGACTCTGTGGCATTGAGTTTGGTTTTGGTTTATAAGGCACATATATCCATAACTCAAGGTGTAGTGATAAGCAACTTAATAAAGGTGGGAATCCAACATTTGAATAAACATTTCTCACTCATATTGGAAGCCTAATAGTGAAAGTGGTACTTCAGTTTAGGCTTTGTGATACCGACAAAATTTGGACAAGTTAGATGGAGTTAGGTGGCAAGGCTGGTCATTCAGGGAAGATAAGAACAATGTGAACAAAACAGGTAAACAGTTTGGCATCTGATGTGTAGAGAAAGAAACTAGGTGAGAAAGGTAGGGTGGTGAGATGGTAAGGGACCTTCAGAGACAGATTGAACAGTTTGGACTTAGCTCTAAAGTTGAAGGGGAGTTAGGTTTTTTTTTTTTTTTTTTTGAGTAATGGAGAAGAAAAACACTAAGGCTGCAATGTCTTGGGGGTTTTACATATCTCTATTCTGGTGGCATAGTACCTAAGGTATTTGACTGCTAATCAGGAGGCTGGTAGTTCCAACCCACCAGCCCCTCCTCAAAAGGAAGGTTGGGCAATATACCTCCAGAGAAGGACCCCAAGGAAGGGTTGCTATGAGTTGCAAACGACTCCACTGCCGTGAGGTTTTTTTTTTTTTAAAACCCTAATGACAGTTCCGCAAAGAACTGCTGAACATAAGGGCTTGGAGAAGATAAAGTAATTATGCAAGGTCAAATATTTGTGGTATAGTTGGAGTCAGACTTAGGTCTCCTTGCTTGCAAGGTTCATGCTCGCTCTATTGCTCTGAGGGGGAATGACTTGGTCAGACATGGGAATCAAGATGATGAATCTGAAGTTAGAACTGTGTGTGTTGGAGGATTAGGGAATTTGGGAGAGCAGTTGGTGAAAAATCCCTAGGGTCTTTGAGAATATCAAGAATCTTAGATTAGGAATTCTTCAGTCAAGGAGTCTGCCATTTACTAGAGGAGATAAATGATAAGATGGTATAGTTAGTATTGGCAGAATTCTAGGTGGGAGCTAATACTAATTACACTTATAGTAGAGGAAGTGGACTAGAGAAGGGATGTGTAAAATATTAAGGTAGAACTGAAGGACTTGGCAATTGATGTGGGGAGTGGGAGTTGAAGAATCAGTTTCCAAGTGTCAGTGATTAGGGAGATGGTGCTCACCAGTAACAAGCCAGCAAGAGAAAGGGGTTTTGGGGAGGGGAAGATGGGCAAAGATGGCTTTTGATTTGAATACATTATATTTGAGGGATCTATAGGTTATCTAGTTGGGGTACCCAGCAGCTGGCTGGAAAAATGAAGCTGGAACTTGAGTATTGGGGCCAAAAAAAGTGCAAGAGATTTGGAGGCATCGGCTGAAGACAGTTGAAGTCATGAGAAGCTGATGACCCATCCTTGAGGCATACACAAACACGTCCACCCCATGCCCACGATGGAATAAACCCAACTGCTGCTAAAATGCCAGTATGAATTTCTTAAGATCTGAAGCTGGTTTTTTTTTTTTTTTTGTAATTTGGGTGAAAGTTTACATAAAACCAAACCAAACTCACTGCCATCAAGTCGGCCCCGACTCATAGAGACCCCTCCTTGGGTTTCCAAGGTGGTATTACTACCGAAGTAGATTGCCCAACCTTCCTTCTGAGGAGTGGCTAGTGGGTTTGAACCACCAGCCTTCTGGTTAGCGGTCAAATGCCTTAGGCACTATGCCACCAAAGCTAAAGTTTACATAGTGAATTCAACACATACATTATTATTTTTGTTTCATGACATTGATTTCAGTCCCCACAATGTAATAGCTCTCTTCATACTTCTTCCCTGTGGTTACCCTTTCTCTGTGTCCTTTTTTTCTATGCATTCCTTGACACCCACTGCCCTCATCTCTCTGTGCAAACTTCTGATTGCCTGTGGTTGATTGCTGTAAGGAGTGTACCTACCTGGTGTAAATGTTCACCCCATATCTCTCTTGTTTAGCTGGAAGCCACAGGAGTGAATTCAATTCCAGGTCCAAAGTGTGACTAGGGACCCTTTTTTGGGGGTTTCACCAGTCTCTCTCAGATCAATAAGCCTGGTCAATTTTTTTTTTTTTTTTTTTTTAAATATTTTTGAGTTGGGTCTGAAGCTGTTTTCTTCAATCTTCACTGTCCCCTTTTTTATGGCTTAGATTCTCTATACTATGTATGGATGCGGGTACGCTTACTGACGTTTTGGGTAACTTGGTGACACTTCATGTGTAGTGTGCTGTTTTGTCAAGTTGAATGTCAGACATGTTAGTCCCAACATGCTTCTTTTCCTTAAGATTCTTTCATTGTTATGGCTGGGTTTGTCCCTTTTCTGAACAGGAAGTAAGGCAGGATAGGTTGTTTATAGGCTTCCTGGGATCCCAGTGGAAGGGATAGTAGTTGCATTCAATATACCTTTTTTCTTTTAAATTGTGATTTGGGTGAAAATATACAGAGCAATTCACTTTCCATACAGCAGTTCACATACACTGTGTCTTATGACATTGATTACAATTTCCCACAATGCAAAGCTCCCCTCCGACTTCCTCTGCATAGTTACCTATTCCCTGTGTCCATCCCTCCATGCACTCCTGCCCCCTGAGCTGTCTCCCTGTGCATAAACAGCCCTTCTTTGTCCCATGATTGTTCTCTCCAAGGAGTGTATCTACCTTAGGTACATGTTCAACTCATATGCCTGTCTTCTGTTTGGCTGGAAGCCACAGGAGTGTGTTCAATTCCAGACCTGAAAGGCAGCGAGGGGCCATAGTCACAGGGGTTCTATCAGACCAGCAAAACTGGTCTCCCCCCAAATGATTTTGAGTTTTGTTCCACATTGTTCTCCCTCTCCAGGATCTCCTACACAGATCCCCCTCCGAGTGGTTGACAGTGGTAGCAAGGCATCATCTAGTTCTTCTGGTCTCATAGTCATATAGGCTGTGGATTGCATGGTGTACCAGTCACCTGTACTAATTGTTCCTATGTATCTTTGATTTCTTTGTTTTTCTTTGCTCTGGATGAAGAGAGATCCATTGTTGCATCTAGATGGCTGCTAGCAAGCTTTTAAGATTGCCAGTTGCTACTCGCCAAAGTAGGAGGTAGAACAATATTTTATGCAGTATGTTATGCCAATTGAACGTGATGTTTCAAGCCCACAGGTCCAAGCACTTACTCCCTCTGGGTAGCTGGCTGTGGCCAAAAAATGATTACAACCTTGTCCCTTGTCAGCTCTTCTATATACCTGGGAATTCTTACATACAAGTACACTTGTAGAACCATTGTCTGCCAACCCTATACATGGTCTTGAACACACTGCCCCCTGCACAGACATACTTAATAGTTCAGGCTGTCCACCCATCTATCCACCTGTATAGCCATGTTTGCCTTCACTAACAACACAGTACTGTATATGCGAAAGGGTTACTCTTTGCTGTCTGTACCTCCCATGTACTTCTGTCTTTCTGAAATGCCACTGTGTTGATCATTCACATTTGGTACATTGCCCTTCTCTTCACCCAAATAAATACTTGTCTCTACCTATCTAACAGTGTTCCCCTTGCCTCCATAACCAACAAAGAAAATTTCCTTCCATATATAAACCTTTCCTTGACTCCTTACAATAATGGACTAATACAGTATTTGTTCTTCTGGGATTGACTATGACACTCAGCACAACAATCCTCCAAGTTCATGTTATGCTGTGTTTTGCAGATTCTATGTTGTTCTTTAGGGTTGCATAGTATTCCATTGTGTGTATATACCATAGTTTGGTTAGCCATTTTTCAGTTGATGGGCACTTAAGTTGTTTCCATCTTTTTGCTATTGTAAATAGTGCTGTGATGAACATAGGTGTGCATATGTCTGTTCTTGTCCTGGCTCTCACTTTTTTTGGATATATACCTAGTAATGGAATGGCTGGGTCAAATGGTTTTTCTAATTCCAACTTTTTGAAGGAATCACCATACTGCTTTCCATGGTGGTTGTATCATTTGATAGTCCCACCAGCAGTGTATAAGAGTCCCAATCTCTCCTCATCCCCACCAGCATTTGTTATTTTTTGTCTTGTTGAACTTTGCTACTAGTGCTGAGGCAGGATGGTATCTCATTGTTTTGATTTGTATCTCTCTGAGGAGCTCTGGAGGAGCTCTGGTAGCATAGTGCCTAAGGCACTTGACTGCTAACCAGAAGGCTGGCAGTTCAAACCCACCAGCCACTCCTCGGAAGGAAGGTTGGGCAATCCACTTCCGTAGTGATAACGCCTTGGTAGTGACCCTAGGTAGAGACACTATGAGTTGGGTCCGACTTGACGGCACATAACAACAACAACAATGGCTAATGATTATGAGTATTTCTTCATATGTTTGTTGGGTGTCTGCATTCAGCATGCCTTTTACATTTACTTCACCAGGGTTTTGGGTTCCAGCAGAAATCCTGTTTGATGCAGCATTAGAGGCTTTTCTTATACTTATTTTTTTTTATGGGGGTAGGTCAAATTATCAAGGACATAGATTCTGGAAGCCCAGCAGAGGAGGCTGGCCTGAAGAACAATGATCTGGTAGTTGGTGTCAATGGCGACTGTGTGGAAGCCCTCGATCATGACAGTGTGGTGGAAAAGATCAGGAAGGGTGGAGATAAAACATCACTGTTGGTGGTAGACAAGGAGACAGACAGTATGTATAAACTGGTAAGTAATATAAGGTTTCATATTTGTGCATTAAGTTTGGACCTATTTATTCATTCTTTCAGACTCTGGTTACTACTTTGTATCAGGGGTATTCACACTAGGTGTGACTTAAAATCAGTTAAGTGTGTGTAGACAAAAAAACCTTGACAATTTAGGAAAAAAAAAATTAAATGGTCATAATAGATATCTCAAGAGCACACAGATCACCTCATCTAGATTAGACACCTTCTGAACAAGGTAATATGTGAGCTGATCTGGAAATAAAAACAGGTGTTAGGTATGGGGGAATTGCTGGTGTGGGGCTGTGAAGTGTCCCAAGTAGAGCATTACATAAGCTGTGATTGGAATGTCGTTCATTTGGAGAAGAGCAGGAATGTCAGTGTGTCTGGAGAGAAATATGTTACGAGACTAGAAAGGTAAAGTTTACTGGCTGTTGAAGTTCTCCCAAGACATGTGTTAGGGCATTCAGCCTTTAGCTTAAGACTAGAGACACTGTTTTGAAGTATTAGTGGGAGGTTGAAATGAAGCTGCCTAGTTGTTAGTGAAGACTATATAGGTCTGGAATCTAGGAGAAAGATTTAGACTACAGATGCAGATGTGGGGTCCTCAGCATAGAGTCTATAATTAAAGGCATAGGATTTGATGAGTCCCAAGGAAGGTATGTATTCTGGAGACAGTTCTAGAGAACAACAGACGTGCTGAAAGGGATAAGCAGAGAGGTAAGTGATAATTGAAGGAGCCTGAGAAAGAAGAGTTTGGAGAAGGTGAGAACCAAATAAGGTATTTGAAAGTCATGGGGGATATACATCAAAGAGGAAGAGGGGAGTAAGCAACATAATTAGACAATTGGAGGGAGAGATTGATTAAGGAGAACAACATGACCATTGGAATTATCCACAATGAAGGCGTTGGAAAGAATAGTTTCGATAGAATGGTTAGGGCAAAGGAAGTGACAGCGAGTGTGGATGGTAGGTAAGCACTGAGTGTAGATTACTTTTTGTTTTCAAGATGTTTAATTGTGAAGAGATGGAGAGCAGTGGCTAGAGTAGAAGTTAAGGTGGGAAGACTTAAGATGTAGGTACATGAGTATTTCAATAGAAGAGAATGAACCAGAGAAGAGAGGCTAGATCGTGGGCAGAGAGTGAGACTCTCAAGGATATACAAAATGGTAGAATTGAGATCACAGAAGAAAAAGGAGACAAGAGAAACAGGAAATGAATTGCCACTTTCTTTTTCCCTGAAATAGGACATGGGCCCGTTTGCTAAGAATGAGGGGTTTGGTAGTCAAGGGATTTAGAGAGTGATACAATTTTGAAAGAACTGTTGTGAGTAGTAGGAGACAAAGATGACTAGAATACAGGACTGCTTGGTAGGGCTGATGGTCCAGTTGAGGTTGGATGCCAAGTTTCCACTGGTACTAATAGACATATTTGGGTTGTTTAGCCCTGGTATAGGAGTGAAGGCAGAAAGCTAGATTGATGAGGATTGGGAATTATTTTTAGGTGTGTAAAACAGGTAGCTCTGGTAGCATAGTCCCTAAGGCACTTGACTGCTAACCAGAAGGCTGGCGGTTCAAACCCACCAGCCACTCCTCGGAAGGAAGATGAGGCAATCTATTCTGTAGTGATACTGCCTCGGAAACCCAAGGAGGGGTCACTATGAGTTGGGTCTGACTCGACAGCACATAACAACAATAACAATATTGCTGCACAGAGCATTCTACCTATTGAATATTTGTCAAAACATTCTCTTTTCTTGGGTTTTTGTGATACTGCACACTCCTAATTTTCTTTTGAAATCTCTGGACACTTTTTGCTTAGCCTGCTTTTCTCCTCAAAATTTAAATATTTGGATGCCATCAGTCTTGGTCCTGGTCCTTTTGTTCTGCATCTTCTCCCTAGCTAAACTAATCCAAGATCACGCCATTAAATGACCTCTATATGTTGATGAAGGCATCCTGGTGGCACAGTAGTTAAGTGCTAAACTGCTAACCAAAATGTTGACAGTTTGGACCCAGTAGCCACTCTCCCGGAAGGAAGAT